GAGAACCAGCTCAGTAGGTAGGATATATTACGAAATAAAGGGACAAATATTTGTGGCTTCAATTGTAAACATTTCGGACAATGGTCACGACCTCAGTCGTGTAACAAACGGCACAACGCAAAGAGATCGGAAATTAAACAGTCACCCTAATAAGGCCATGTTATTATACCAGGCCATTGCTTTGTTGGCTATTTCGGTGAAATGAGATATTCAAACCATTTAAAGCAAAGAATGGATGTGTTATAATTGCGATTACGGGCATTTAACTCCTTTGGTTACAACAGCAGGTATCGGCCAGTTTGTCAGTGTCAGATTGACCATGCTTACACACCAGACCATTGTCCAGAAAACCGACTCGTCTGTTTAGGTATGATTCCTAAAGATATATGAAGGGCCTCAGCGAGTGTGCTGCAACTTACACAAGGCAGTGTAGTGACATTATGAACGGACTTATATTACCTTCTAATCACTGTATATGTTGATAAAAGTAATGTTCATGAAATGGTAAGCATCGACATTACACTATTCAATAAATGATAACTTGCCCAAGTAAAGTTCAAAATCAGATGGCTTCAAACTCAAAAGTCGTCCTCGATCTCGGCTGTGGACAAGATAGCCCCAGTCTGGTCATGGATCAATGTTAGTGTGTGCTTTAGCCACCTTTTTAACACCAACTATGTGAGTGTCGAGCTTGTGTGAAATTAATTTCAGTAATGAGAAAAGGTTTTGAACAAAACATAATGGATGATACGTCTGGATTTCTCCGAAAGGGCCGATCTACCATTGACCATATTTCGAAGATAACGTCAATTATCGAGAATAGACAACTTAAAAAACTGTCTACGTATACAGCCTTTATACGACAGTATATATGACATGACAGTATAAACAGGCCTTTGTTATTTCGTAAACTAAATAAACTAGGAATTACTGGTAATCTCTTTTCAGCTATAAAGTCATTATATAAAAATGTACACGGCTGTGTGAGAGTAAATGGATTAAGTACTGAGTGGTTTGACGTCACGTGCGGTTTAAAACAAGGGTGTACTTTATCACCGATTTTATTCAACTTGTATATCAATGACCTTATAACATATTTGAATAGTTTAGGGGTTGGTATAGAGGTAACGGAGCGTAAAATATGTGCCCTACTCTATGCAGATGATCTGGTGGTCATTGCTAGTACTGAGCGTGGTCTCCAGTTATTACTAAATGGTCTAAATACTAGGTTTGAATCCAATAAACTTCATATTAACGCTGATGAGTCGGCTAATGTACATTTCCGTCCAACGTCTGTACTAGTCGGTGATAGTATTTTTACTTGTAGGAAGCTAGCCCTAGAAATACGTAGCCAGTATACATACCTGGGTCTTACATTTACGGAACACTTGGATTGTAATGTAACGGCAAATGTTAATAGCTAAGTTTAAATCAATGGGAGGTACTATATAAAACCTTCACAAAACTGCATGAGAGTACAGTGTGGCCAGTAATTAGTTATGGTGCTGCTATATGGGGTACATTCAAAATCGCGCGTTGGATTTTATCTAGGCCTTGGTCGTTATGCGCCTAACGTAGCTGTTAGCGGGGACAGGGGTTGGACACCAGTAATAGTTAACCAATGGCAAGCTGTTTTTACACATTGGAGTCGTCTACATAATCAGCCGGATACTAGATTGAATAAGGCTGTATTTACATGGAATGGGCATATGGGTGACCACCGAAAATGTCCAGACTCCGGGAGCTAGGCTTGGATAACTATAGCACAGGTCAAATTCATAGTATTTTTTTTTTTTACTTAAGGACGTTAAGGTCCGTGGCTTGAAAATGTTTATTGAAAATTGGAAAAGGGAACTTAAACGGCCCGGAGCCAAAAAATAAATGTGTTTCTGGGGGTAAAAAACTACGTACGAACAGGTTTTAAGATTAATTATGAGGTAGAAAAACATAACATGTTAGTAATGCCTAAATACCATCGTAGTGCGCTAGCTAAGTTTAGATGTGGGGTTGCACCGATACGCATCGAAACAGGCCGGTATGAGAGAATATCTTTGAGTGAAAGAAAGTGTTTCGCGTGCAAAAGCGTGGTAGAAACAGAGATTCATGTTTTAATAGAATGTAACTTGTATGATGATCTCCTAGTCTAGTGCAGGAGGCCAGTTATATAACAAGTGATTTGTACAATATGAGTAAAGATGAAAATTAAGTTTTAATTCTAAGCAACCCTTACTTGGCGAGGTCCTTTGCCAAAACCTGTTTTAATATTCTTAATCGACGTCGCAACTTGCTCTGTAATTAAGTAGTAATGTGTCTTTTAATTATTTTAATGTTTTTGTATTGGCAAAACTTTATTGATTATGTGAATGTGAGCTCTATGCAAAGTGTCCTCTGTGCTTATATTGGTAAAAGCCTATTTGAGCACGTGTTGTATGGGCTCTATATATCACACACGGTATTTATCCAGTTATCTATCTGTACATGTTTGTACGATATTTGTTTGGCCATGGGATGGGGGATGGGCGACATGTCGGTAGGGATTGGCGGCCCAACCATTCTCGTTCATCTCACATCTAGGCCCAAATTATAACACGTCCTTTACGTTTTTGCCAATTGTATAACTCTTACTGTTAGCTTTTAATTTATAAGTATGTACATAATTGTAATACTTTTACAGTCTAGAGTGATAGGGGAAGAGCGAGTGTCTCGTAAGTCTAATATAGTAGACTGGATGTAAGGGTGAATGAGCAGACATATTTTAGAGATTGTCTCGGTACTCATCTAATGACATACTGTTGGTCCTGCCACGTTTAAATCAATGCTTCGTTTCACCACAAATATATACCGTGATTCCAGCAACGACTTTTACTCCATTTTGAAATCTTTAACTGCAATTTTCTCTATCATTATAGAAAGGTGAACAGTTAAGATTCCATACCTTGTCTTGTTGGTTCTGTTGATGAGAGAAAGTGATCGTACATCTCCTAGTCATCTGCCATGTCAATGAAAGAGTCCAAGTTTCGGAGCAAAGCCGTTAACTTAAACAATAGATAGTATAGTTATATATAATTCGTCTCTGTTGCTCTTCGACTGCTTCTTGTTCTTGTCAGCTGACTTGTGCCTGATAATACCGCTAGTTTTTAGTGCCATTACATGTTCTTGTTTGCATATTCCGTCTTTGCGTATTGCAGAGTTATCTTCTCTTGTGAGCAGGTATTAATTGTTACGTCATTGGTTTGTGTGAAAAAATTACGGCGTTTTCTCAACAAATGACGTAACAATCAATACCTGCTCACAAGAGAAGACGCAAAGACGGAATAAACGACAGGTGAATCGACCGTCCTTTCGCACATCTTCTTCATCTGTTTTTAAATAGCTTTGCCCATTTTCTTACCTCATTTTGATACACTCGATGGCAATTTTCATTTCAACCTTCTATAGAAAATCTCTTTTGACATCAAGGGTTGTATACTTAGAAAGAACACGTAGCAAATCACAGCAATATGGTGTAGTAGCGATACCTGTACGCCCTGATTCGAATCTTTAATTATCTTTTGACATTCCAGGTACAAGGCAACCCGCTGTTTCTCTGCCAATGACAGATATTGTAAAATCAGTTTGGCAATTGGATGCAAAATAATTGTAATTGTTTTAAGAATTTGAAATTTTATTTCATAACCCCAAAAAGCATGCCAGGGCTAGATCCGCCCATAAAGACGAAATATTGATTGGCAAACAAGCTAATTCCAGAGTGGTGTGTCCAATTATTTTCACTATAGAAAAATATAAGCAAAATAAAAAACAATCATTAACAACTGTTGATACATGAAGCGAATACGTAAGTGGCAGTCGCCAACTTTTGAAATGTTAAAAGTCAACGACATCGTTTGTTGTGCTTCTTGTGATCTTTCTTTCGCCTTCAACTAAACGTGGTTAGCTATTGTCTAACTATCCAATATTAAAGGTTTGCGTAAGGTTTTGTTTTGTTAGGAGTTTAACGTCCTCACAACAGCCAGGGTTCTATGAGGGCGGTAGTCTGTTGAAGGGTTGCATACATTAAAAGTTGTTACATATTGATTGCAATTGTATAGATAACGTACTAACCGCTTTGTGTATGAACATCTCGACAAAATACATTACCCAAGTTTAAAAATTCAATATTTTCCTAAAAATGCAGAAAAATCATAACTCTCGGTTCCTCGTGATTAGGCTTTATCTACATGCCATCGAGTCAAGTCGTTTTTGAAAAACCCCATCAAAATGGCTATTTGACAAATAATGAATGCTTTAGTCTGCGTTCTTTTCCTAATAAAGACGATTTATTCGGCAGTGGTATAAACGAAGTACCAGTCCAGAAATACTTTCGGGAGAAGTATCATAATAGCGGAACGCATTTTCAAGTAGTTTCCTTCTCTGTCGTGATGTTCGTAAAGACTGTTAATTCACTGTTCTTGCATCCATTAAAAGCTGCATAGCTCGTATATTTCTTAACTTGTACTAGATATGAATTAAAAATATATAAAGTCACTTTGATCATTTTGCAGGGCTCAATGATAGAAAGTACTGTGATGTATATCAATCAGCCGCATAATAAAAGACGTGTTCCTGCAATGTGACATCATTATTAGGAGGCTATAATTAATAGAAAAGTGGATCTTCCAATGGTTTATCTTGATTTAGATAACTACTGACATCTATCATAAAACATGGATACCCAATATCTAAGATATCAAGTAATGAGTTGTAGGAGAAATGGGTCAGTCAATCAGTCTGGAACCCACCCGCTACATGTACGCCTATCGTAGATTTGTCGGAAGAGGGGGTTGAATAACACTATGTAACCCTACCCTCAGACATAACGGGCAGATCTCAGCATTATCCTTTTCACACGTTTATCGTATAGGAACGTCTTATCAGCATGGGCTATTTTTACCTAATTTAAATATTTGAATAAGTTTTAAATCCTTGTAGAAATGTAATAGCCAGGTGAGTTATGACTTACGGTAGAGACGTGTGTTACCTGTGATTGTGTTACCTGTATCAGGGTAAGGTACACCGGTATCGGAGAGTATAAACCGAGTGGCTGTGGTATGGGGAAGGCGGAGGAGATAGTAAGACATACCGCCAAAGTGTTCTACTCACGTAGGGAAGTACCACAGACGTCAAACACGTCTATTGGGAGTATATGTATTTGAAGAGAACGTTTTAAGAGTGTCTACTCAAAGTTGGATATATTTCTCTGATCAAGAACAGGTGAGTTGTATAAGAAAACGCTGTACTACATTTGTGACGTTGTTTATTTCAATGTCAAACTCTTTTTGACTTCGTAGACTATTAATTGGCCTGTTGATTCTGTAAACATAAAACAGGAAGGCTCGTGTGGTAAAGATTATGTAAAATGTTCCTATCCGAGCTAAGGGTTGGGTATAAAATAGGTATTACCTTAATATTTTCGTGTGGTTTTGAAATTATACTAGTAATATATTTGACTTTTTCTGTTGAAGATTTAGTGGTTATGTTCTTTTCTCGCTAAGTTGCTTTAGAACATTTTATTTGAAACAAGATATAGGTATCATTTAAACGATATGTTAGCTGATTAAAAGATTAACAGTTTTTAAAAACATTGCTCACTAGTTTTTCTGGAAATACAATATCGCAGATGTTGTTTCTGGGTCTCTACTGACTATGCCAGGTAATGACGAAATCCTGTCGCCTATATCTAGCAATGACGTACAGGAAAGTATCGGAAATATGATCCAACAAAAGCTCATCATATGTATCATTTTTTAACGTTAGACTAGTCAGGTGATATTAATAGGACCATATACCGTGAATAATTCACTCAAAGCCAAATCAAAACACCCACATATTTTTTCAATTCAAAATCGTTTGCCTAAATTCCATTCAATTTTTCATTGACTGATCCATTATTTATTTACTCAGTGACGGTGTATACATATCTCAAGAATTTCAATCCTGAATGTTGAGCAACTTAATTGAAATAGTATAAATCATACGATACAATGTTCGCCTCGTTTTTACCCAACATCTTACGCCTTCTCACACTTCACTTACTCTGTTAAGTACAGCTGTCAACTGGAGCGAGAAACGCTGGAAAGTTGGAGCGTAATTGGTGAGCTTTCACAAGACCTTGCTTCGTAAATTGTTCTTAATCGTCGATATAATTTACCCATACATGTCAACAAAATCACTTCCTAAACGCTTAGTTCGTCCCTTGTATTTATTTATCGGTAAAATGTGCTATAGCGCACTGTAATGATAAGCTCGTGTGACTTTTCAGACGGTTTAAGTGTCGGTAGATGTTCTACTAGCTCTATGTAACATTGGCGAGGTAAGTAAGATATCTAGTCACATTGAATTGATTATCTTTAAATTCCGTTCACACTATAATACACTGTATTAAACTCGGCATATTGGGATTCAAATGAAATGTTATTGATCTATATCATGAATATGTCTCTTACAGATTGTCGAGGGTATAAACTTAGCCGTCTCATACAAGGTTTATCTTTGCTTGTTAAGGGGAATAGACCTGCTATAGTTCACTGTTTGTTATGCGTTGCGAATAACTCGGTATTCCTCTAGAATCGGGTTGTATGTATGAGATAGAAGTTTACATTCGGGTATGAATTTGTAATTAAATCGTTTGCTGAAAAAAACTCGGGAAATATGTAAATATTGTTAATCCTCGACGGATGAAATCTCTCTCTTCATGTGTTTGACATCATGTTTCCGTTTTTCTAGTCGCGCGTCGATCGTGTATAAAATGTGTACAGTATACCATCCTTGTGATAATAGCCCACTTTTAGACCATATGATAACAAAACGTTATTCCTTCCTTTCCTGTCTCGGACAATGTGAATACAACATTCCCTCTCTATTGTCATGATCCACTTAAAATCATTCTTAGTTCCATATAATGTGGCCAAGGTACGGAATCCTTAGTTTTTGCAACCCCTTCGATCCACCATACGGCGTCGAGGAAGAGCCGGGTCAAACGTCAAAGCGACCGTGATCAAAGAGAAATGAAGAGGTCAATATTAAGTAGATCGCGTTGAAGCTTTGAAATACGATTGATCAGTGATATTAAGTGTCGGTGTCTCATATATAGCCCCTCCCTGTGGTGTAATATTAATATCAAATTAATTCTTCAATCAAGTATTCACATACAACGGAATTCTTATGTATTTGTGAGGATAAACAGAATTTGATTGGTCATTCTGGACAAATTTTTCGGAAGTATTTAACACGGTAAAAACATGTACTTTCACAAACTGAATCACCGAAATAATGTTTTCCCATGCAATGCCTTTCAAGATTAGTCAGTTTTTCTTAAGAGTTAATACATCAGAAATTCTCAAAGCTTCTGATCACGATGATAATTTTGTCAGTGATTATATAAACATTATGTAAAATATTTTTTTAATAAAAGTTGAGGAACCTAAAGACATTCGATCAAGAAACTCTTGACTCTTGACTCATCAACGCCTATTTATGCTCAATACGCCTTTAGTTAGTTATCATAAAAGTGGGAGACTCGTCTAATCGGCAAACTTCTCGAAGTAGAAAAATTGAAATATATTTACTCATTCATATATAACTTACAAACTATGTTTCCCCTCTCATCCCAATTCTTGCCTTCTGTCCCTCTAACCACAGATCGTCTAAACTAGGTTGCCCCCTTACCCCAATCATTGTCCTCTATCCCTTCAACAGGGGAACCCTTCTCATCCCTATTCCTGTCGTCCGTCCCTTCTACCACATATCATCTAAACTAGGTCACCCCTCTCATCCTATCCTTACAATCTGTGCCCGTTCCCATTGCTTTTCGGCAATAAAACATTTTTGAATTTATTGGATGAAAAGTTTTCTTTTCCAATCTCTTTGTAATGTTTTGACTTGTTAAGCGCAACTAAAATCAAGACAACTCAGTACTTTATATTGACACCATTTCTGTCAAAGGTTATGGTACTACGAACTTGGTGACATGAAAACTTAGACGATGTTAAGAAAGAATTAGACATCGGAAGGGTTTAGATCAACAGATGACAAAAAGAGTAGAACGCAAGAAAGCTCCGCAAATTTGTCCTGCAATTTTAGCAAAGTGAGACCAAAGATCCTGTCTCACTAGACGCTGACTGGTGTTTGATATCACTGTGGCACTGTGTGAAATGGGGGTGCACTCCGTGGGGGACCAGTTAGGAAAGGTATCAAAATACAAACAGTGTCTGGATTCTCAGGTCCAAGTGGCGACGAGTACGTGACTGACATGTCCTTACTGATATGTGTACTACAGTATATACTTTTACATGAGAGATGAACCGATTCCATCGGACACTGAGAACACCATGCCACAATTAGAGAACACAATGCCACAATTAGAGAACACCATGCCACAATTAGAGAACACCATGCCACTATAGAGAACAACATGCCACATAAGAGAACACCATGCCACTATAGAGAACACCATGCAACTATAGAGAACACCATGTCGCAATTAGAGAACCCCATGCCGCAATTAGAGAACCCCATGCCACTATAGAGAACCCCATGCCACTATAGAGAACCCCATGCCGCAATTAGATAACACCATGCCACTATAGAGAACACCATGCCACTATAGAGAACACATGCCACTATAGAGAACCCCATGCCACTATAGAGAACCCCATGCCACTATAGAGAACACCATGCCGCAATTGGAGAACACCATGCCACTATAGAGAACACCATGCAACTATAGAGAACACCATGTCGCAATTAGAGAACCCCATGCCGCAATTAGAGACCACCCTGCCCCTATAGAGAACACCATGCCACTATAGAGAACACCATGTGGCAATTAGAGAACACCATGCCGCAATTAGAGAACACCCTGCCCCTATAGAGAACACCATGCCACTATAGAGAACACATGCCACTATAGAGAACCCCATGCCACTATAGAGAACACCATGCCGCAATTGGAGAACACCATGCCACTATAGAGAACACCATGCCACTATATAGAACACATGCCACTATAGAGAACACCATGCCACTATAGAGAATACCATGTCGCAATTAGAGAACACCATGCCGCAATTAGAGAACACCCTGCCCCTATAGAGAACACCATGCCATAATTAGAGAACACCATGCCACAATTAGAGAACCCCATGCCATAATTAGAGAACACCATGCCACAATTAGAGAACATCATGCCACTATAGAGAACACCATGTCGCAATTATAGAACACCATGCCGCAATTAGAGAACACCCTGCCCCTATAGAGAACACCATGCCATAATTAGAGAACACCATGCCACAATTAGACAACACCATGCCACTATAGAGAACACCATGCCACTATATAGAACACATGCCACTATAGAGAACACCATGCCACTATAGAGAATACCATGTCGCAATTAGAGAACACCATGCCGCAATTAGATAACACCCTGCCCCTATAGAGAACACCATGCCACTATAGAGAACACATGCCACTATAGAGAACACCATGCCGCTATAGAGAACACCATGCCGCAATTAGAGAACACCATGCCGCAATTAGAGAACACCCTGCCCCTATAGAGAACACCATGCCACTATAGAGAACACCATGCCACATTAGAGAACCCCATGCCACGATAGAGAACACCATGCCACTATAGAGAACACCATGTGGCAATTAGAGAACACCATGCCGCAATTAGAGAACCCCATGCCACTTTAGAGAACACCATGCCGCAATTAGAGAACACCCTGCCCCTATAGAGAACACCATGCCACTATAGAGAACACCATTCCGCAATTAGAGAACACCATGCCACTATAGAGAACAACATGCCACATAAGAGAACACCATGCCACTATAGAGAACACCATGCCGCAATTAGAAAACCCCATGCCACTATAGAGAACACCATGCCGCAATTGGAGAACACCATGCCACTATAGAGAACACCATGCCACTATAGAGAACACCATGCCGCAATTGCATTGTTGTGTCAATGAATGACAAACCAACCTAACGATAATCTTGACTGCTCTTTGTCACGTTGAACACGGTGACCAAACACACCTGTTTCCGACAACGTCAGGAATGATGCTATACTCTGATTGAAATAGACACAAATAGTTATTGCTATTCAAGACACAGTTATAGGATAAGCCACATTTTTTACAATTTTACGTATTATGTAGCCAATAAACCTTCCTGGGCAGTTCATAAGTGTAATATAATTTTGTCATGACGTAAATATAGATCTATGACGTACGTGTTCAGCGACACCTTCGCGATTGGATTATATTTAAGTCTAATCAGACAGAATGAAGTTGATTAACTAAGATTTAATGCTTTGGTTGTTTGATAATGTACATCAGCTCAGTTTGTTTTTTATTGTAAATTTACAGTTCATAGCCACAGATACCATTAGAGGATATATGCTGATCTCAGTTCGAGCACGTAGCATTGATCGTTATATAATTTGGTCGGATGTCGGCACGCCGAGGGTATAGACCCGAGACAGATCGATCTCCAATTATTTCGCAAGCAGCGAACTGTTTCACCCCATTACGACAACCAACGAGCTGTTCATCTTGATAGCTATTTGATAGAGCCATCGTCCATCACGACCTGGTCTCAGATATCGCCTTGTCCGCGGGAACACGTAATTCTTACATTAATCACACTGGTCAAAACAGGGCTACACCTAATGGGCGTAAAATGGTACTGATGGTCATCGATGGTGATTGTGTGACTAACAAGGTCATTGTCGAGCCGTAGCAGGTGCGCGTTAGACCACCTTGTCCGGTACGCTCCTACAATTCCTCCGGTCCCTCCCACCCATATTGTGCGCGACGCTAATGTTGGTAACACATCGTTTAAATGTCTTTTTCCATTAACCGGATTTTCTTCTTACCTCTTCGTTTAATTAATATTCACCAACCCATGTCGACTTCTGTAACACTTAATGTCTCAATATCTAAGGACGGGAGAGTAGGGCCACCATCCAATGACGATACATGTAGAAGGGGTAGTATAGGAGGTAGTGGTGATGTGTTATTACAAAATTAATCAACGTGTAACCTAATTAAGTGCATGTTAATAAACTGCCTGTTGTGTGTGTTACACACGGCAAGTGGTTTACCTACATACAGGGAGGTGCCGAAAACTTGCATGTGCGTTCCCGTCTCGCTTTAAACTTCGTGATTAGAAAATATACCGATATCAATGGTTCCAAAGCACGCGATTCGTCGGAAGACTTGACCTTGTCTTGGTTACCTTATAGCTAAAGAACAGAGATTTCTTTTACTTTATTTTTTTTTAAGGGGGAAGATTTGATTCAACCTAGCCGTCTACCGTTTACATGTATAGCTTCCTGGGTTTGCCGTATCATGTCGATATAGAACACAACGTCGATGCCTTACCAGTTAAGCTTAATTAGTTACCTTGACCATATTAAAGGTATTAATGGGTCAAATATTTTTAAAATTCCCAATTTTGTTAAGTCTTTGATATTTAAAATCTAAGCTATTTTGAACATGTTTGAAGATTATGTTAATTATTGGAGATGCAATGTCGTCTTTCCTTCCTGTTAAGAGAGGCGATAAATATGGTAACTCCTTAATCTCTCCTTTAATGGAATTTCGAAACGAAACAAACAGAATCGAGACATATCAGTTTCGACTTGGGATTTCCCAACCGGAGGTGAAATAAGATAAAGCAGGGATAAGAAATTAACAGTGATATTAGAGCGGACAGCTGAAGTATAAGGTAAACAAATGCACACCCACGGCCCAATTGACATAAATAACAACCTATTAGAGTGGCTAGTCCCTTATCACATGCAAAAGCAGGCGTCCAATTCTACACCGTATACATGATACTCGACCCTTCAAAAGGCTCTTACCCTGTCGCTTATGTAATCCTAACCACAAAATTCAGCGAACGCTAACAATACGTTAGGACCTGTTTACTAGATTTATCCGCAATGAACTTCAGTATATAAATGTCCTCAAGCACAGGTGCTTCGTCCAAAGTGAATACGTAGCATTTTAACTTTAGCATGGCGGATTTCCAACCCAAAGGAAAAAGTTGGTGCTTTTTAGACAAATGATAATCCAAGATATTCAAATGTTTCGTGACGATCATGCCAACACTAGAAAATGTAAAACTGGTGTTTATGGTGTATCCAGTTACAGAGCTCGGTTAATTTTTAATTTTACATATACCTGATGTGAAGTACACACATATCCGGCATACGCACCGAAAAACAGTAATGTTGAGAGGATTATCACCGATAACCATCTCAAGTTAATTACCTCGTTTTACTTGATGTAACGATTCAAATCGCTGTAAGTACACAAAGTGTACACAAGTATATTGCTTTGGCAATCATTTTCATAATTTACAAAACGATAAAACGAATCCGTGGTTGTCAACAAACTAATGTATCTGTATCTGATGGTACAAACGTAAACACAGCTTAAACTGTCGACTCATCCTTCTATAACATATACACAAAAAATATCAAAATAAACTGTATTGTAATCCTAAAGTATCCGAGATATACAGACTGTATACAACTAACGACACACTTAAATCTTAAAACCTACGATCAGTGCTACTGGAGCTGTGTTTCTGTATGTGGAGTTGTTTACAAGGATGCGCGTCTAATACACGATCCATAACATCCAACTAACCATCCAGTGTAGAAACAAGTCTATGACTTTGTGAACCAGAAGACCTGATACAAGACTTTGTTTCCAGGAACCACAGTTTTTTTATCGGCAGATCCTGTACGAAACTATTTTTCAAGGGCTTTTGCAATTTTACAGTGTTTGGGACAAAGCTATTTGTCCGAGGCATCTGCATTTTTGCTTCTCCAAACTCCGACTGTTTTAGGCCAGTAGTGCTTAAGAGCTTACCTTGAGGGGTCGTATTTTCCCCCAATAACAGTTTGGGCAAATCTATATTTCAAGAACAAAAACTGAAACGTACGATCTCATATTCCTAGGAACTATATACGGTTTCCATAAGAAATGAGAGCAAGCCCTACATTTAGAGACCTGGTATGTTTTCTATGCATACATACGAACTGGAGCATTCCTATATCACGTTAAGCCGTGACGATTTACGCAGGAACATTCGGTGCTCCTTGTATGCACAGTTCACGAAGGTCGTGTAGTCTTTCAGACTCCTCGGGACTTTTGTCCTTACATGATGAATGACGTTAATACAGGTGTTCTGTGTTCTCACGATAGTGTCTTTGACGGTGTCTTTGTCCCTCTCCCCCAGGAGGATTTAATTCTTGTCTATATCTATGTGCATTCAAATTGCGTCTGTTGTGACGAATCTGTGTAGCCATGTTGCCGTGTATGTATCGCGTGCTAGGACCACAAAGCGCCACTATAATTCTACATTAAATATGTAAAAGTACATTCATGGAAACGTAACAGGTTTTTTTAAGATAGAAACGATTACATTGACCTGATGGTGATCGTATCTAGGGCAGTGCAGGGTTGGAAGGCGATTGTATCGTTCGTCATAAATCTCGGCGACCCAGTAAGCCGGCCATTTAACAAACAATTAACCTCTATACATAGCAAAGCAGGTAACATCACACTAACCAACCAGAGCTAATGACCGTTAATAATCACTGATGGTATCTTAACGTTTATAAACATCTAAAAACAAATATAATTGGTGACTAATCAGTTCATAGTATTTAAATTTTTAAATAAAACGGTTTAATACTATACAAATGTTAATGTTAAATAACAACAAAGAAGTACGTGTATGATACTTTCTGGTTATCACAGCCAGAAATTAATTGTACTCGGTATTATTTTACAACAATGCTTTCATTCATAACTAAGAGACATGCATGGTATTAAGTTGGCATGAAATTCCGATGATGATTAAAACAACCGTTGATAATTCGAATTTTGCGTTTGTTTCAAATCGAAAAATCACGTGATGCGGATTTATCGTCCTTGATATGTAAAGTAACACCGCTGCGGAACTTAAGTTAAGATGTCGATACCTATGGAGGAGAAATGAGTGTATAATTTGACAGCTGGCTCCATCGATTGACTTGGTTACGTTTTCAATTGTGAAGGCTTATAGTGTCACACTTTGCATTACTAGAACCGTGTGCATATATGCAAATCTGCACCCATCTGTGTCCTTTCTCGTCTCTCTGTACCGGACGTTACGTCATCAGTAAAGTTCCAACAGCCAATCACAGCAGCCAGACCTGGCGAAAACTGATTAATCTGATTTTGATTTGTTTGTAAGGTTATCAGCGCTCGTAGCGAGACAGTTTTAATGTTTATAATCACGTTACATCTCAGTTATAATCTAGATTTCTTAACTGTGCGTCCGACGTTACAAAGGACCTTCGGGCTTATTGCTATAGCGTATATAACACGTCTCTGATAGGATCTTGTGAAATAGAATTAGTGGCAATTCAGACCCAGTGGAACGATAAATCACATTTCATGCATAGACTTAGAGAGTAGGCTTGTGTAAATATTATCACGGGGAATTTAAATTTAATTTACGACTCTCGTTTGTGAATATGTTATATTTTACAACGGTTGGAAAGCTACGATATCTTATATGCTCTGATTCAGGAAAGGGGCCTACGAGTATACTCAAGATATTACAGCCCTGAGATAAATTCACCAACCAAAAATGTTGTTACAAAACCTGCAAGGAATTTGACACGTGAATGTATTCCAATCGAAAACAAATCGATATATTTTTGGCATGGAGCAATCGAGGGCGTGACGTCAAATCAAAATTAGGACGGAAATTCCCATATTGTTTCCGTTTGACGTATGTCATTTTTCTACAAACATGACTATCCGTTATGTGCGGGGAAATAAATATAAAACAGTTTGTTTGTTTGTATCATGAACTGAAAAAATCACCCATATGTTTTGTAAATGTGGGGAGGAAAGGGCCACCGCGTGTCAGGGAATATGGTTAAAACGGAACTGTATGGTATAGTATCACATATTTTCAAGAAAGGTACATTTGAATCATTACATAAATCTGAAGCATTGTATTCCCTGTGATAAAAGACAACGCATATCCATTTACACCCTCTGTACGCTCCAATTAAGACATTGCTTATCAGCAATATCCTTGTCAGTCCGTACGTGTACATATTTCGAACTCTTGTTCTCAGAATACTGTAGGGTCGAGTAATACTCAGGATGTAATTGTTCCTTGTTGATAAATGCACTTTAACCGTTGCAACATTGAAACCTAAGCAGTCCCAATTTCAGTCACTTTTTCGTGGCAAGTCAAAGGTCAAACGCATTTTCCGCCCTTTATATTAGATACATTTTCTTCTGAAGTCAATGATATGACTATTAAGGAAAATGTGCATCATGTCTGCAAAATTTTTCTTGGAATAATTTCATTATTTTACGTTTAGCCATTTTCGAGACATGACGAGCGAGTCTGTAAAAGTTTGGTAAAGAACAAGAATTATTTCATTTGAATAGCTCATCAAATATTGATACCGCTCATAGGGAAGAACTGAAAATAGTGTAAATGGGGAAAAGACATTTATCTTTTATGGTGAATAGCAACAACATTGACTGGCGCAAAATTAACGGGAAAATGGAGAAATGCACGAAATATAGGAGAGAAATGTCTTACGACGTTTAATTTGGCACGGAGTAAAACGCATTAATTCTACATTCTAAACACAGGTATATTTTGAAAACTTCCTGATTGTTTTATATTGCAGTGTTTGACGCTATCCTGATTTGCTCGCTACCGTGATTTAACTGAGATTGAACACTGATCTTGTCACCTGACCTCGGCGACCTCTAGAGTGCCACGTGACAGCATGGTGAGTATCCCGCTGGGAGGGTAACAAAGTGGGGTTCGGGGTTTGTCCACTTACAATGGAAAGGTGTAATGGGAGGGTATAATACAGGCTAAAAATCCGCAAGGTTTACCTCGGGACGATGATTGCAATTTGATGTTCCTCGTAAATCACCTTATCCTGTCTGATATAGAAATAGGATTTGTATAAAACAGAGTGATATACATATGACATAGCCAGAAAGCTATGTGTTTGATAGCGTGTTGTCTGTTGAGTCGCTCACATTTAACAGTTTTATGACTCGTAAAATAAAAAGAATGAAAAACAATCCATAGCCCAGTAACATAAAAATACTATGTTATGCCCATCCATTTCAACGCTCATGCCAAAATGATCCTATGACCTCATCATGGTGGACTGTGAACGTCACTTCCTGTTCGTCATTGTCACATAATTACGGATTTTGCCATGATAGATTTGTTGTCTCCTATACATAGTTCATTCAGTTGCCTTTATCCACGATATGGCTCTTGTATCAGTCAACAGTTGCTTTATCTGTTCTCGGTAGTTGGTTTTTATAGTATTCGTTGGTGCTTGTTCCTTAGGGAAGAATCAGCAAGAGCTATTTTTTGTTCATTTTCCCACTTAAGCTACCATCTCAGGTTTGGTAGATATATTATTAAAAGTGGTTCTATATCTAATAAATGTGCATGGCATGGTGTTGTTGTCGTTTAGACCAAATAGTCCTACCAAGTCGTGTTTAGTTTAAGTTTGCTGTACGTACCAAGGTACCGCATTAAAGAATTCCAGCACGACTACCTACATACTGCTAACGATAACATTTGTACAGCTCTTTCAAGTGACCGAATGACCACACCTTTTCGACACCAGATTTGGCCACCTTACGAATGACCATTCACGAGCTAATGACCCTCGTAAAGTGGAAGTTGACAGTACACTTGTAAATATTGACCGGCGTTAAGTAGAGTTAAGCGTTATATTGTTCTCTCGGGCCTGCCTGTGGTGTCGGGTAGTCCTCGGAATAGAGTCAATTGTTTGGAGTAATGGTCAGATATATGTCCCGATTACGTCCCACTGTTGACATAGCACAAGTCCTTGACCATTTCCTGGGATATTTAGATATTTACAGATGTGTGTAATATTTAGACACAATTGTTAATTCAACACTCCAGGTGCGATGTGTACACTTAACCCTGTCCTTAAAACTCCAAACTTTACATAACAAACTGATTTATGACAAATGATGCTCCTTATCTCATAACTTCTGAGACAACAAGCAGTCTGGGTATTATCAAATATCTAATAAATGAAAAGTAAAATGTGTACACTTAAACCCGTACTTAAACCCTTTAAAACATTACATAATCATTTTAAGGCGGTCGTAACAATACCTAGGTCTCCCTGCGGTATCTCGTCTTCTATAACATGTAACAAAGCTCTGATTTTAAGCGGAAAATACAATGAAATTATAGAGCAGTATGTGACCACGTGATATTGTCGGACATTGCGCCCTAAACGTAACAATTGCAATATGTGGTCTTAGATGTATTTGGCAAGACTTATTGACCGATTTAGCGTGAAAAAATCCAACTCTAGTAAGAAGTTGACGGCCTGGAGTATTGGTCCACGAAGCTACCGTCTATACCAGCCGACGTAATCCCGTACTGGTAAATGTTAACGCATAACGTGACCGTGCATTTCTCCGAACACCCTGTCAAATGGTGGCTGTCGCAAGCGCGGTGTGTACAAGTATAGCATGGTATATTGTATGTACACATGCCCCAAATCCAGCTAGCTAGGTTGTATCTGGACCGAGCGAGCATATCTATTGTACAATGATTGATATGAGAGGTTACTAAAGGAACAAAAATGCAAAGAAAACTATTTCATTAAAAAAACGGGTTGGGTTGGCGATTCCTGAAATCTCCAAACACCCAACCCCCTAGTGTTCACTTATGTTATATTTCCATAGATGTTTACAAGACACTTAATCACAGTGCATTATGTTTTGTCAAACAAAGCGATAGCAAAATATTTTTGTTCAATCTGCAATACAGAAAACATTTCTGATTGTCATCCATTTACAACAATTATCTCCCTTTTAAGTCTTCAGACCGTCTTTCTTGCTGCTACTATGTTCTTGCCGGTTATACATTTTTCTTATATAATGTCAGTATGGGGCTCTGCTAGAACTACAACTCGAAGTTCACTCTCCGAATCAATGAATATCAGTATTGATGTATTTATTGATATGTAAGTGCAATGTAATGACCTCGTTTCCCGGACAGGTTTATGACGTAATTTAAGGTAAACAAACGATCACCTGTTGGTAATAATCAATTACATATATTTTATGTATCTTCTAGGACACATAAACTCATACTTCAAGAGGAGACCGTGTCACGTGATGGCCACAGCAATCATTAACCCAGATCACCTACAATGGGCGGTAAGTCTTTGATACATGCGCAGTTCACCTTCAGGGACGAACAGATGACATTGTAAACCAGTTGAAAAGCACATTTTGCAATATTTTTTTCATCCTTAAATCTACAGAAATTTGAAATTAAAATGATTACTGCATTGCTAACGATGCCAATTAAAATTTTCGCTGCATCAAGTAATAGTTTGATATCAATTGAAATAGTATTGACATGCGTTGAAAAAATATAGGTCACGAAAGTATGTCACTTCAGAATATAGGAAGTTGCTTTTTAATACAACAATTTTAAATCGAAAAATATAGGTCAAGAAAGTAGGTCACTTTAGAAAATTGGAAGTTACCTTTTAATACAATAATTTATATCGGGAGGGACAGCATACTTATGTAAAATAAATACCTATTCTGAAATTTTTCTTCTACATTGTATATTCGACAATTTTTGGAAAATACTTCTGTCTCTGTTTGTCATATTGCAAACAGTAATTCGTGGGATATCTGTTGCAGTGTAGGAATATCTGGATTGCTTCTTAAATTTTATCATCACCATTTCATTAAAAACAAAATGACCAGACTGATAAGGGCCTTGTTTATCTCCCAGAAGTGTCTTTGTTCAATACCCAGAAGTGAGCTTGTTTGAAACCCCAGTAGTGACTTTTTGAAAGATGATATGCATTCTTCAACAAAGACGGTGTTTTAAAATCTGACATTTATAAGTATGATGATGGTGGCTTGGGAACTTTACAGGCAGAAAACGTGCCATAACAGGTCTTGTTGTTGATGAATTAATGATAGGATATTAATTTAATCTAGAATGTACTTTAACAAACACTGTGATCGTCCGAGACGAGTGGGATGTTCGCTGTGGGGACTGTATATACTCTCGCTTGTGATATTTTGGTTGTTTGTAGTGTCGTTGCCATTTGTGGACGGAAACATAACATTTTATGGCGGTTGTATCTATTTTTCGGTAAAATAATGTCCAGTTGTTTACATCAACACTATAAATGTGATGGCTACACCTGCTCTGTATAGGACTGCTGTATTTACGTTACGGGACATAGTTTGATGGAGCGAACACATGTACACAGAACATTATCTGAACTAGTAATGGCCATTGCTATGTGTGTGTGGTGTAATTTAATCGACATACACGGGCAATGGGAGAGCTCGATCTTAATCAGACCGACAAGGAAAATACTAGATAATGTTAGGACCCACATGAGATTGTGTTATGTACATCAAACATACCATATGTTCACTGTTCATTCTCAACACAGTGAGTAGGCAGCCGTGGGTTTACGATTATGACAATTGTACAGGTATAGACGATAATTCAATGTCCCATTACATGTAATACAGACGAGAGAAACTCTATGATTGGTGGTCTCACCATGCTCTGTAATATAACACATACATAGACGTTGAAAACAGCCCTGCAGGTTGGCGATTGAGAAAGGGATATACTTCCTGTTACCCACGGTGCACTGCAAGAAGCAGATAATGTGTGAACCCCCTGCAGAATTGGGGATTTGCTTTTGTGCCCTCTACTTGGAAACACAAAATCACCGATGTTAATCTGCTACACCAATTGCACGTTTTGGATCTTTCTATTTTCTCTCTTCTTCCTAACAGTATTTTGTTTCATACTGCCTAGTTTGGCGATACCTCACTTCTGGGCTTGTCGTTGCACGTGCGTTCGCCCAGGTGACCGGGCATTGGGTTCTGTCTCCAGGCCGGGACATACCATAGTCCGTAAAAGGGGTAGTTGTTATTACATGCTTAACGTTCAGCATTAAGGGTAATGACAACGGATGTTTGATGCGTTGATGTGTCTGGGTAAAATACTATTTTGGATGCCTTCGGCATGGTATTTCAGTGAGGTAGCACTATAAAGTCGGGATCAGATCTATGCCGTCGCAAAGAGATAAATCCACCAAAGTACCCTGTCTCCAGCATGCATACACTCATGCACGGATACATAACAAATGGGGACTGGCCCTTAAATGTCCTCAGTTGTGAATATGACGAAACTCTATAAAACCAAAGTAAACCAAATAAGTAAGGAAACCCCGTATGTTTGTCTTATCACCGTGATAGTTCCACAAATATGGACTAGGGAAACCAAACTGTTTGATAGTACCAAGTTCTGCTGCTACCAACGTGTTATGTAATAAGCCAAAGATGTAGACGAGGAAACTGTATGAACTGATATAGGTGTACCCTGTTCTTCAGTACCATTCATAAACAATCTTCAATAAAAAAAATGAAATGTAATATACAAGTACCGTAAATATAGACTAGGTTTGGTCGTACCAACGTGTCATATACCCCTGGTTTGAACACAGGGACAAGTCACACGTAAATGGGCGCCACAGTATATCTAGTACAGGAGTACTACTTGATAGTGTAACGCACTGTATATAGCTTTGGCTATTATGTACCATGTGACATGTCCCTGTGGTTTGGTACTACCAAGGAACACATTGGGCGAGCTTCGACACATTGTGAGGTTGTTTATGGCTAATGGCTTGCCTGTTAACTCAGTCAACGTCGGCTGGATAAGCAACAAGATGAGTATCTGTCATTACAGGTATAGACAGTTAACGATGTCCTCCATCAAATATGTGAACCTTGGAATCATGCCGGTAGCCCTAGGCAAGAAGATAGACTTTCTCTGTAACTGTGAGAGTCCTTGCCTCTGCAGAAATACATACAAGACTCTGAATGATGCTATCAACTCCTCCATATATTCTAACTATACGAACATTAAGATTGTATCGAATTTCTGACAACTTTAGGGATTGAGAGGTGATTATAACAATAGTACACCGATTTAGACAGGACGAGATCGACAGAACAATGGAAGGCGTTACCCGGGGTGTTAGCTTTATCTGATAACAATGGCCGAACACTGGACCGTGGTCAGAAAGTCACAAAATACAAAGATAAAGACACGCCGACAAAGTCTAGGTATAATTGCCCTGAGTGATTTGTTCTATTAAGTGTTATAAGTATTACTTATCAGACTATCCGATCACAGACGATTCGTTCCCCGATTTCTTACACATTTAGGCCATGGTAAAGGTTACCAACGTAATGGCCATTTATGTCATATTCCATTAGTGCATAATATATCAGATTTTAACAAGGGGCCCGTGTTTCTGTGTTCGGTTTAGAGGCATTGAAGTGAAGGCTGACGATCTCTAAATATGTTTCCTTGATATTGAGGTTTGATACTGATTTAAAAAAATCTCGCTTACGTATGAGATTTCAACCAAAGGAATCCCTCTGAGCAGGGATGTGTAGTACTCCCTGCTCTGAGCTAGGAGTTGTCCAATTCATTAACCAGAATAACGTTGGTTTGGCTGCATTTCAAAATATCTTATGATAATTTCGGGTGAAAAAAACTTCTTGTTGCGTGTTCTGTCGAGTCTCCTGTGCGTCAATGGGCAGTTTGGTTTTGGTATTTTAGTGCCGCGTCAAAAACAGTCCATTTCATTCCCGTTATCTCTTAGAAAAGCGATGCCTAAACATTCGACATTTATTGCTTTTTAAAATAATTTACTATCCAAGCGAATCAAACGATAATGTTTTTTCGATTGATATGAATATGGAACTGAGGACATATGAGATAGCAGTATTATTATGTAAATACATAGCATAGCAATTAACATAGATATTCTAATTTACACATCGTTCATGATATGACTAGAAATAAGACGCATTTAAATGGGACGAGCGAGGATTTCCCGTGTATTCTCCGCTAGGAGACCATATGTATCTCAAGTCTCCATAAAAATACCGATAAAATGGAAAAGTGATAATATCCTTTTTTTTCATGAATTTTTGCATGATCTGATAAGTAAACTACAGCGTCTGTCGGTATTTACCGCTACGTGTGAATACTACCACTTATGATGCTCCTCGAGACTCCAAGGGTTACGCCCACTTTCGCTTTGTGCAGGGAGCAGAATAAGGCTGCATAGTATAGAATGCTACATGTTTAGGAAAATCGACTTGAAAAAATAAAATGAGGAATGGAATGAGTGACTCGTGTAGGAAATCAATGCATATTGAATTGAATGGCTCAAATGTCATCGCATAAAGTCTGATCTAAAAAAAACTATTTTGAGCCTCATTTTGGCCATATCTAAAGATAATTATTAAAATTTGGAGTTTACATGTCGGAGCTATAGAAGAGAATTTATTCTGAATCTGGTCTTTCGAGCTTTCCCGATCTGTCATTGATTTTCATTATGTCACTGTTTATATTATTACGTCAATGTGTATACGGAAGTTTGTTTATGGTTTCTCGACCTAATTAATATAGAAGATCGTCCTGACAAGTAAATTAATATATCGGAGACAGAACCTTCTGGACGTTTGTACAGCCTTGTGTTATCACTGACCACTGTCCGCAGCGTAATTGACCACCAGTGTGTAACCGGTGACGTAACGATGTCCAATAGATCATGTACCTATCGTAAAAATGGATTCGGACAATGTGATTAATTCACTGACCCGAGCTGCCCTTGAGCTAGAAAGTTTCACCCAAGCTTAACCTTCTTTTAAAATATCTTTTCCAATCAATGCCGAATCTATAATGGAAGCAAAGAAACGTTATGGATACCTTTAGACTAAGATATCCGTATATGGGCCGATGTCCGAGCATGAAACAAGAGGTGGGGAGTTCAGGTTGGACTCAATAACAAAACAATGAAGCTTATCGTTTTAGAGCGCAATATCTGATAAAATGCCCTCCAAAAGACAATCACTAGCACTAGTTAATCCCAAGGACAAACGGGCTTGTATAAATGAGCGCTAGTTTCCACTTTTAATTATACATACTGGTATTATACGTGTCTGATGAAATCGGGCGTGGTGATTGTTTTCGTACAGACGAATGTTTCAGCGTCTGTATTTGACTCCCAATAATTCTATTCGCTCCACATCACATCTAGTTACTTCCACACACAACTAATCGTTTGGTAATGTCGAGGTCCTTG